AGTTGTGATAGCAGTCATTTAATTAATAATTAGTTTATGTTCACATTTTAGAAAAATTTGAAGTTTAGTTGTTTGATTGTAACGCAAAATATTAAATTGTTGAAGTTTTTATATTTATAGATTAATTAAATGATTATTTATTATTTAAACAATTAATTAATATACAAAACGTTTCGTATCATTATTTATTGCTTATATATCACCGAGCAAATGATAGCAAAACTGTAATATATAAACAACGCACTACTCTTGCCAAAGTCATGATTTTATTGATAATTCGTTGTCGAAATATTTTATGTACTATAAAATACACACGCATAGAATATTGAATTATAGAAATGTTTTAATTGATTGATTAAAATTGATTATTTATTAAACAATTTATTCATTATGGAATCTTTTATGCATAAAATATTTAAATATATTATTGTGAAGCAGTTTATGAAATATTACTATCTATGTAAAAGTGTTAAATAATATAAAAATATTTTATTATAGATATTTTAAGTATATTAAAATAAGATAATCCAGAATATTTTAGATATATGTTATACTAATATAATTTAAAAACTTAAATAATTTAGATAATTTACAATGAGAGAGAGAGAGAGAGAGGGAGAGAGAAAGAGAGAGAATCGTTATTGAGAAAACATGCAATATATAATATGATCTGAATATAAATGACATATATATATATATATATATATATATATATATATATATATATATAATCTGAATATAAATGATAAATATAAATGATAAATAATTTATAAACTATTTACCGAATAATGTTGCTTAGTACATGGTCCAGTGCTTTTTAGACTTACTTTTCCTCTCCTTCGCTATTTTTTCGTTGCACTCACTTTCACTCCTGAAAACAAGATTAATTAAGATTAGTTAATTAATATTAGTATACGCAAAAATCGCGAGACATTTTGCACGGCATTCCCGATCGCGTAGTAATTACAATTAAAAGTTTAGCAAGTACTAATTATAATTATCATAGCGAATTATGTTTTAATATTAGTCATAATTGTGTTTTATCGTTAGAGAAAAAATTTAATAATATACGAAATATTTCGCACCTTACTCTTCGAATGTTGCCGTGTGAATAATATCAAGACCGTACTTGTAAACACAGCGCGTCATACGCCGCCAAGGCCGACCGTGTTATTATCCATTCACTGCTAATATAGTTTACTTTAACATATACACGAAATGTTAAAGTGTATAAAAGTTTTAAATTACATGGATTAAATAATATTTGTTAATTTGATGTATCGCAAAGCTTTTTATTATGTTAATTTTTTCGATTTATGATTCGATTGTTTTGCTGTGCGTTTTGATTCTAAATTAAATAATTAAATTTTAAATAATTGAAAAATAGAACGAGATAAAGCGTCGCGGGAATTATATTTTATTCTATAAATATCATTAAAGTAATAATTGTTCATAAACAATGCGGACCACAAATGTTTATCAAAATATCTTCGTGTATTATCATTTGTGTGATAATAATTATGTCGCGCACGTATCTATTGATAGTTTTGATTATCATATTATAAAAATTATATGTATATTTCTCGTAATCGAATATTCCTATTATTATCGATTTATTTATTCGCGTTTTCTCGCGAATTTTAAATCGCGATTTATTTTGTAATTTAATTGTTGATTTACATTGAAGCTTATTTTATTTTTTCGTATTTTGAATATTTCCTTTGATAATCTACACAAAATGCGATAGTAATGCAAATATTTTCTTCTACAATCGAAGAAATGATCAATAATTTTATTAATGACTCTTTTAATCATGATTATATATATTTACGTTACATAAAACTTATTAAATTCTATTATCGCATATCGATTATCAATGATAAATGTTGCATAATTAATCATTGCTAATCGGGCTTGTCTGGACTATATAAAAATTTTTAGTAAATTTTATATTATTATATGTATATTTTAGAGACATTTTCGTGTATTAAATTATTCCATGTAATAAATAAAAATTATTTTGTATTAAGTTTCAAATTATATTTTACATTCACTTTTGTATTAAACCCTGTATTGAAAGAAAATAAAAATAAAATTTTAAAAAAATTTTTTCCTCGTATCTCTACCTTACAGAGGCATTTGCCGGATGAGGTTTGAGTACTCTAATGAACCTAAGAGCTATGCCGGCAGTAACGTATAATACGCCGATATTCATATATGTAGACTATTTTTATATTTAAAATAATCTTAAGTATGATCTTAAATCGCGTCTTGAGATTCCGATCAGTTAGTAAAATAGTTGTATTTTCCAACTTATTTAAGACGATCTTAAATATAAGAATGAATTATGAAGTATTAATAAGTAAAGCTATTAATACTTATTAATAATAAAAATATATATGGCGTTCAATTAAAGTATCTGCTATCGTTATCTGTTAATTTGTGCCATTTCAGGTGTTTTTCTAATATTGCGTTTATAAAATATTTCATTTTTTTAAACATTATATTGGAATTACAATATCTTTCGCGATTGAAGTCAAATTTCAACTTCTTATTTATACTTCGCGATGCGACATAGAATATATATGAATCAATAAATTAAAAAAAAATATATGTATATATATATATATATATATATATATATATATATATAAATAATCGAAAATCTCTATGTATTTACTCCTCTATATATATTACAAATATATACTTACTTATGTAAATTAATACTTTTTGCTGTAGATAAATTTTGGAAAATAACATCAAATACTACACAACATGCTTTGGGTTGTATTAAATGTAATATACAAGTGATAAAATTATAAAAAGTAATCAAATCTACAGAAAAATGAACATCAAAACAATCATGCAATTTTAATAAAATATCAAAAGCTTGCAAGCCATTGCTTCCAGTTTCGATTAGATGATCATATCTGCCTTAATATAATATATTCCTTTTCTTTCCTCAGTAGTCTTACTATTGATTAAATAAGGTTGCACATTTTTATTTTTATTATTTTGCGAGCATTCATTTAAAAATAAATTATCTCGTGTCTAAAAATATAAATATTAATTAATTCATATTTACCTATGTTTATTGAATAAAAATGCTTTATTGAGTAAAATGTTTTTTAATTAGAGAGAGAGATACATACATTTTTAAATATGAATTAAACTTTTATATGGGATTGTTAATTTTGAACATAAAGTTATATATCCCACTGAGTGCTTTGTCTTCTTCATTGTTGATATCTCTTATTAGAAGGTTTCGCAGTGTTGATGTAAAAAAGACGATCCCAAATAAAAATGTAAACTTCAATATAAAGAGATGCAAAAAAGATACAAAATGATATCTGCTACATTGTGTGAATAATCGAATTATATGTATATCCTTGCGCGCACTCTCATCGACAGGCGCGTCTTCTATCGGTATCTTGGTACCATGATTACCGCTAAATTTTAACATCTTTGTATCTTAAAATATGTATATACAAACTTTATATTCAAATATATTTTTTATTAGATTAAATATATACACTATCTGCAAAAATCGGGCCACTAACTTTTAGCCACAAATTTTTAACACCTTTCAATAAATCCTTTCGATAAATCAACAAAAAAATTATCGTATTGAGATGAAACAAAGCTCAAATTAAAGCTTAAATATCCCTTTTGAAAACTTCTCCTTATAAATCTACATTGTTCTCAACAGTTTATTGAGAAAACTTCACTAAAAGTGTTCTGATCTCTAAGAATGTTTTCACAAGATCGATAATCTGATCTGATAAGTGCGACAAGCAAAAATAAATTAGTATCAGTAGTATCGTGATATAATATAAATTCATCGTAACATCCTGTAAGACAAACATTCTCTTTTAATCGTTCACGATCGTCATTGAATCTGCAGTCAATCAGTCAGTCAGTGAGCCCATCATCAGTCGTTTATTAAGTTAATTACTCGATAAGTTAATCGATCGAACTTTGTATAGTTTGATGATCAATAAGATATTTTGATAATTAATATTCAATAACATATATAATAATCATTTAACCATAAATGGACAAGCTAATTTTTGGATTACACCGATAAATTTAGCAAAAGATTAGACAAATTCGCTCCATCCACTTGTTTAAAAGTTTATTTTCTATTTTTATTTTTTAGTTATCATCAGATGGAAAACGAAATAGAAATCGAGTTTCAAGAATTAGTAGTACCAAATACAATGAAAAATACTATATGGAAATACTTTGGATTTCCTACTCTCTAAAAGTGAATCAGTGTATTATCACTATAATCAGTGCTGTACTTATAACTCCACTTAGACTGGATAATAGGTACTGAAACATTAAAAAAAAACACTCAATAAATATGTTTATTTTTTTATTTTTTTTTAATATTTTAATTTATTAAAATTGATTATTTATTGAACGATTATTTATTAAATTGATTATTTATTAAATTTATCACGGAACCCTTCGTTATGCTAATTATTTGCATCTATAATTCGACTGTTTTACTTTGTATTCTTTCATAATTCAAATTATTTTTAGATTGTCAAGTAGAACGGTATAGTAACATGGATGAAATATATTTGTGATCCTATGTATTAAAATAATAATTATTGTCCGTAAAGATTGAAGTGATTATTTAATATTTTGGATTTCTATCGATCTTAATGAATAATAATGAGTAGTACGAATATGTAATTTATTAAAATAGAAATAAAAATAATTTACATAAAATTTCTTTATCTCCTTTCAATCCACTGTTTAAATAGAGAAATGTTGCTAATGGCATAGATTAATGCTGTTATTATTAGCACGCGAGGGTAGAAAAATGAATATATTAAAAATAGCTTTATGCAAATCGCAATACAGTTTACAGGCACGTTCGATCGCAGCTAAACTGATTTTTTTCGAACGGCATTCAATACTTGAAGCATAATATCTTTCGAGTTATAATATCAGTTATTAATAAATGCATTTACCAATGTGAAAAAAAATTTGCAAAATTGATTTTCGAAAGCATGTACGTATTAAAACAGGTACTAGAACAGAATTTCAAATCTTATGGACGATGTGCGGAACGTATGAAGTCATTTCTATTGTTGTTCAAATTGTGCGGAATGTTTGCCAACAAGATTACAGACGGTCAATTAAAACATTGCTCTAAGCCATTTTATGGTATTGGTGTCTTTTGGGTTGGCGTCTATATCTCATATACCTGTTTCTTGTTAAATGATTTTCTACAAGGTTATATTAAAATAAGAACGACAGTAGACCTGATCAAACATTTAATAGGGTATATAAGTCTTAGCATTAACGTCATAGCTGCTTACTCTTCGCAAAATCACTTCGGCAAGGTAAGAAGATAATAAAACGAAAAAGCGTACACCATCTAAATGATTTGCATTTCCACCCGTCATATGCGCTGACACTTTTCTAATATAAATTTTCACCGCAGCTTTTCGACCGACTGGATAGTTATGATTACGAAGCTGCACGATTAAAAAATGAAAGAAGGGACAATTTATGGATACCCAGAACTGCAATGCTTTTAGTAATATCTATTACTCTATTGCTTGCAAACGTCATAATATATATGAGATCAACGCACCTATTCTTTAGGATGATTTCAGATATATGTACGATATGCATGCACATTTATGGTACTTTGGAGAAATCTCTCCTGTTGTATTTGATACTGATACGTTTCAAACATCTAAACGAAAAAATCGTGCCAAAAGTATCGTGGAACAAAACGCAATACGAACCAAAGACGATCGACATCTCGAATGTGCAAATTATGCACTCGATGCTTTACGATGCTCAGCAAGCTTTTAAGGATATATACAGAAATCCTTTATTGATATGGTTTGCAAATCTCATGATACATGTTCTTGGGAATGTACATTTGTTTCGAGAAATGGAGCCATTGATAGCTTGTGCCTTCGTTATTCCTCCAATTATGCAAATGTTAATTTTATGCACAATTTGCCACTACACAGCGAAAGAAGTATACGAAAAATTAAATCCACTTCAATTACTATACGAAGTTCACTATGAATAATTTCATTTTTATAAAATCCGTTTTATGTAATGTAAATAATTGCATATTTCAGGCAAATGAAACCAGTTGTGTCATAAATGGAAGTATGACTTTGCTTGTTAACGCAGGACAAACAATGGTAATTATTTAATAAAGAATAGGAGTTTCTTTTCGTATCAGATTGTAAATTTTCTTTATTTTAGAAAAAAATTGAAATCTTAACGTATTTCTGGAACACTCGTGTGTCTTTTGATGCAGCAGGATATTTTACAATTAATTTACCTCTATTTCAATCTGTAAGTATTTTCCTATTTTATATAAATTATTATTATTCATACATATAAATAATTATAAATATTTATTACACTTTTGCCGTTTTTTATAATGAATTTTTATTTCTAGATTATTGCAACGATAACTACTTACTTTATATTATTAATATAATCTTTCAACTAAAATGTTCATCAATTACACATTTTTGTAAGACAAGCAAATATATACATATATATTAACAAAAAGAAGATTAATAAAATTTAGTAATAAATAGTTTTTAATAAGCGTGATAAACATATACGCGTGGAACTTAATCATCAATAATCAATATAATAATAAATGATAATTTGATAGTATCGATGACACAGATTTTGAATAATCGTAACATAAGTTTATATATAACAAATTATGAATCTTTATCGGATTTTGCATGTTTATAGCGTTCCACGATTCAATATAAGACAGAATGTATCTTCACGCAAATAAATGTCATTTCACTTTTATTAACTGATACGTCAAAATGGATTTAAAATACTATATGCGCGATTTATCGGTGATGCGATTGAATCGTTATATAATGTCTTCTATGTAGGCGTCAAAAAAACTTATCAAAAGCTGTTAGTCTGTTGCGAATAGCGCTTCATATTTTTACCATGTTAAAAAAGATATTGACAGTACAAACACCTTTCCAAAATCTAAAGTTAATAACAATGATCATTAAAATATTTGGTTTACTTTCATGCAAATTAGTAAAAGGTCGATTGAAACCGAGTGCCAGCGGCCGTTGTTATTGTGCATTATGGATATTAATTCATTGTGTATACACGGGTACGTTTTACTATGAGACATACATTGCATTGCTCGAAAAAGATGCTAAACAAAAGTTCATAATATTTGAAACTGTGCGGTTTACTATTTTCGTCGCTTCAATAATTCCTTACAATTACGTGGCATGTTTTCAAGAGCAAGAGTTTATTAAGGTAAATGTAAATATTTTACACATACCTATTTATTCACGTATATATGTATATAGTCCTTAAAAACGTTAACATGTAAAGTTTAAAAAAATAAGTGATATGCGGAGATTTAAATACATGTTCATTATATCGTGTCTTGCAATCCTTTCAGTTTTCCGACAAATTAGAAATGTATGATGACAAGGCAAGAGCACTAGGACATGAGAGAAAGGATAAGCACATATTCATATGGCTATATTTCATAATAACAGGATGCGATTTGAGTAGACGAACATATGATATTCTTAGTGCAAATATAGCGGATGGAGCGATACAAAAAATGATCGAAGACATCATTCCGGCGGCCATAGGCACCTATGACATCTTTATAACTGGTATATTTCTGGATTTGATAGGCCAACGTTTCTATCATCTGAACAAAACAATAATACCTAATGTTTCACAATTACCGGTCACTGGATCGCCGGGCGAAATCACGGTTTACGATGTGCGTTATTTGCATCGTGTGCTCATTGATAGCGCGAATCAAATAAATAAGGTGTACGCGATGGGCAGCTTCTTCGTTTCCTTTTCTATATTGCTAGAATTTATCGATCAGATGTATATATTTGCAGCAGAAGATACACAGAAACCTGAGATCGGAGATTTACTAGATATAATCTATCAAACCGTTTATTTTTATGCAATGTATCAATTTGTGACTTACGAAGTAAATATAAAAAAGCTTTACTATAAAAAATTATTTCCTTTTATCGATTAATTCTTTAGAATGTTAAAATTATTAGACATTTGACATTTCCTTGAAAGTAGAATGTTCTAATGCATTTTAATTGTTAAGGAAAAAAATCTTGAGTATAATATTATTATTATTGCAGGCAAATCGTGTTGAACATCAAGTATTAAAATATGGGATATCTTTTCAAAATAAAAAATACCGCATGGTAAACTTTAGGTTTTGTTGCTCTGTTCCCCGTTCTATAACAAAAATACAAATTGTTTAATAAAAATTAATTTTTAGGACAATATTGAAATGATGTTATATTTTTATCATCGGAGATATACCTTCACAGCTGCAGATTTTTTCATACTAAATTTAAGTATAATATTTTCGGTAAGATCATTTTATTCACATTCCTCTTGTACCATTATTAAAATAACTCCATAAATATTTAATTCCATAAATATAACTCCATAATATTGTATGTTTTAGATTCTTCTTGTTGCAGTTACATTTATAATAATATTAGTCTAAATCTTATATTAAGCCAAAGATTTATCGAAGAAGATAATGTTTCTAAAAAAAAAACTTTATATCGAGATATATTATATGACACATAAATCACATTTCATAAAAAATAAAACAATGCTTAATTTTAACGAGGACAGTACAAGAATTCCGTTTATTATAAAACTTCAAATATAAAACGCGATATCAATAACATAGATATATAGAGATATCCCACCTAACTTCAGTATCTTAAATATTTCGCTTGTTTTTAATAGTAAGACAAAATATTAAAGAGAAAAGTTATTTTGTTTTAAAAGCTATAGAAATATCTCGAAAAAAGCTATAGAAATATGCAATAAAAAATAGGGAGTTCCATTTAAAAAAGAGTTGATGACCTTGAAATCTCCAAAAATTTGACTAAGAAAAATTTCGTTCTCATCATAATATTAGTCAAACAAAATCAATTTTCTTTCTAACATTTTTTCTTAGCATCAAAAACATGCAAGATATTGAAAATATTCAAGTTAATGGGATACCCTGTATATTTACACACAACTTATATACGTTATTAATTTATTTGTATGAATATACGAGAAAATAAACATACAAGAGATAATAGATAAAAAGAAAAATGAGTAAAAAACTCTTATTTCATATATTTTCCACATATTTCTGCGCATATACAGCGTGATAAACATACGTATGCGTGAAACTTGATTATTTTGCAATACAGTAAATAATGATTTGATAGCAACGGTGACATAGATTTTGAATAAGCGTAACATAAATTTATATATAATAAAAGACGATAAATCATGGATCTTTATCGTATTTTGTTGCATGTTATGTGTTAAACGTTGCGTGATTCGACATAAAACAGAATTGTAACACATATCTTCGAATAAATAAATGTCATTCGACTTTTATTAACTGATGTCGCAAATAGATTTAGAATATTATATGCACGATTTAGCGTTTATCGGTGCTGCGATTATATCAGCTTTCATTATTATGATTTAAGTCTCTATCTTTTATCACACACGTAAATTCCATCAGAAAATATGTGTTAAAAAATATTTAATAGCATATATAATAGCAATATTTAATATTAGCAATTTAATAACAATGAAAAAAAATAAAAATTGAAATGATAATTTATATAAAAGTCATATAGAGAATATTTCTGATAATCATTATATGAATTATCTAGCTTCGTGTTGTGTAGCCGGTAAAAATAAATTATCAAAAACTGTTAGTTAAGTTAGTGTGTTGAGAATAATACTTCATATTTTTATCATGTTAAAAAAGATATTGACATTACAAACGCCTTTCCAAAATCTAAAATTAATAACAATGATCATTAAAATACTTGGTTTACTTTCATGCAAATTAGTGAAAGGTCGATTGAAACCGAGTGCCAGTGGCCGTTGTTATTGTGCATTATGGATATTAATTCATTGTGCGTGCACGGGTATGTTCTACTATGATACATACATTGCATTGCTCGAAAAAGATACTGGACAAAAGTTCATATTGCTTAATATCTTGCAATACACTATTTTCACGGTATCATTTATTCCTTACTATTACGTGGCGTGCTTTCAAGAGCAAGAGTTTATTAGGGTAAATGAGCAAAATATTTTCCACACACATATTTATTCACGTATATATATATATATATATATATATATATATATATATATATATATTCCTTAAAAACATTAATATGTAAAGTTTAAAAAAAAGTGATATGCGGAGATTTAAATACATCGTTCATTATATCGTGTCTTGTAATCCTTTCAGTTTTCCAACAAACTGGAAATGTATGATGACATGGCAAGAGCACTAGGACATGAGAGAAAGGATAAGCACATATTCATATTTCTATATTTCGTAATAGCAACATGCGATCTGAGTAAACGATCATATGATATTATTAGTGCTAATATAGCGATACAAGAGATGATCGAATACATTCGAATTGTCATAAGCATTTATGTCACTTTTATAATCGGGATATTTCTGGATTTGATAGGCCAACGTTTCTGTCATCTAAACAAAACAATAATACCTAAAGTTTCGCAATTACCGGTCACTAGATCGCCGGGAGAAATCACGGTTTACGATGTGCGCTATTTGCATCGTATGCTCATTGATAGTGCGAATCAAATAAATAAGATGTACGCGATGGCCAGCTTCTTCGTTTCTTTTGCTATATTGCTAGAATACGTCAGACTTATATATTTGTTCGCAACAAAAGACATACATAAAGATAATATCGAAAATATAATACAATTATTCTATCAAACTATTTATTTCTACGGAATGTATCAATTTGTGGCTTACGAAGTAAATATAAAAAGCGTTGCTATAAAGAATTATTTGTTTTTTTTAATTATTTCTTTTAAAATAATAAAATTTTATTTGATATTTCCTTGAAAGTAGAATATTCTAAAGCATTTTTATTGTTAAGGAAAAAATCTCGAATATAATATTATTATTGTTATTCCAGGCAAATCGCGTTGAATACCAGGTATTAAAATATGGACTATCTTTTCAAAACAAAAAATATCGCATGGTAAACTTTCTTTGTCCTCTCCCTTGCTCTGTAATAAAATTATAAGTTATTTAATAAAAATAATGATTTTAGGACAACATTGAAATGATGTTATATTTTTATCATCGGAGATATACCTTCACAGCCGCACATTTCTTCATACTAAATTTAAATTTAATATTTCAGGTAAGATCAATTTATTCATTCCTCCTGTATCATTGAAATATAACTTCATAAATTTTTATTGCGTGTTTCAGATTATTCTTGTCGCAGTAACATATGTAACAATGTTAGTATAAATCTTGTAATAAGCTAAAGATTCATTGAAAAAGATAATGTTTCAGAAAAGCTTTATGAAATATATCATATAATACATAAATCACATTTCATAAAAATAAAACAATGCTTAACTTTAATGAGGGCAGCACAAGGATTCCGTTTATTATAAAACTTCAAATATAAAATTCAAGAACATATCATATGTATATATATATATATATATATATATATATATATATATTTACACACAATTCATATGTAATTAATTTACTTGCACAAAAAAAAATAAACATAAATAATGGATAAAAATAAGAAGAAATAAAAAAAGCTCTTATTTCATATTTTTTCTACACATTTGGCTTTAAATTAATAGCAAAATGAAACGTATCTATTAAATCGCTTGTACAATTGATGAAGAAATTTATGTTTTTTTTTATTTTAAATGGTTTGATAAAATATATTAATGTAATAATTATTAAAAACACAAAAAGCTGCATCGATGAATACTTTGTTTCACCACATCATATCCGTTTCCGGATTGGCACGCGCTAGAGGATTTAAACATAAGCTTTTTAAAACTTGTACAGCCTCTTCGCCATCATCTTTTGCGTACAGAGTCGTCCGTTTCGCGCTTCCCATTTTAATCGATTTTCTGCCAAAAGTATCTACCAGCGAACTTACTTTAATTCCGTGCTTTCTGGATTTACTTGTTCTCTTAAAGGAATTCTTCGAGGACAGCGATCCCGCTTTAGTTTTTGTAATAAACGATGAGCGACGATGCTTTCGTCTGGATTTCTCACCGCTGTTAACATCCAGATAACCACCGTTTTGATTGTCGATCTTGTAGTATTGCGATCAACATCTCTAGAATGTATCATCTCGCGATTCGGCTGCGGCGCTTTCCGTTTCTGAGTTCGACGTCGCACGTTAGCAACAGTGCGAGGATTCTTGTAAACAGACCTCGCAATTCGCAGAGGATCCAAAAGCTCATGGTTATGCCAGGAAGCTACAACGGGTAAGCCACAGGCGTTGTGCATACCTACCAACGGCACACCGATGCTTCGGTGTCCCTTTACCTCGAAGAGCGATCGATACCTAGGATTGGAGCCACGTAAACTACGTCGAGTGTTTTGTTCATACGTCGATATCTTTTGGCCAACGTGACCCTCCGCTACCTGCAATGCATCAGTATCGTCAATTTTCACTTTTCCATCTTTTGTACACGCCACTGTTACCGTTGTATTTCCCGAAGAGTCGCGCGTACATCTCGAAGGCCAATGATCGTAACTCGATCTAAATCCCCTGCGTGAGCTCCTATGAAAATATTCATCTATGTCGGATCCGTCCTGCGATCTTCGGTCTTCTGTCTTATTAAAATATCGATTCTCTTCGGCGTTCTTGTTCGGATCAGCGCAACGGCAGCTACGTAAATCGCGCTGACTGTTACAAAAATGGCAGAATGATCTCTTGCGACTATTATCCATTTCCATTTGCGCGGCGATGCATGTAATCTGCGATGCTGTCCGATGATGCGAGTTACTAGTTGTGGGAATTATTTTCTTCGCTGGTATATAAATGCTCTTTTCAGGCTCGGAGACTAAAGTCTCGAATTGCGATTGAGGTGCCACGGATCGTCGTAACGTACCGATGTTATGCGCGATCGATGCTTGGTAATCTTTAATAGGGATGCTTCTAACTGTACCACCACCTTGAGGTCTTTTAATCTTAATCAGCTTGTCATCGTTGCTATTTTTATTGACGTCATCATTCACAATCTTTAAGGTGGGCGCGTTCTGTGAGAATTTCTTAAGATAGTCCTGAGGACGATTATCGATTATAACATCAACTGCCCGTTCCTCGTATGTTTGATCGTTTCGTAATAAATCCTCGGAATATTTGAAGGGATTTTGCCATTCCTCGATTATGCTCTTTTTACTCGATGCTAATACGCTATGTTTAGTATCATCGCATGTGGGTTCTCGATTATTCGCGTCCTTAATGTCGACCGTTGTCCGTCCTTGACTGCCCTCCAGCCATCTTCATGATTTGGCACCAAATGTCGTCCCGGCCGTATGCATCCTGTTCTCGATACCTATACCTATAATTTATATAAATTACATAAAAAAATACAAAGTTAATAATAAAAATTAGAAATAATTAATGAATAGAAATTAAAAATAATTGCGTGAAATGTAATTATAAAGACATAAAATACGAAATATTTCGATTATGGCGTGAAATCATGTGATCTAAAATCGCAAATTTTAAGACAGAAACTTCTCTTACTAAAATCATGATCGCTCTCAGTAAATGGACTTAAAGTCTGCGTGGAGGTAAAAGTCGACGCTTGTGACTTGTTTCTCCTGTTTCCTCGAGAGCAAGCGAGAAGTATGCTGAGGAGCGTCGTGACTTCGACAAACATGACAGCTAATACGATAGCTAGCAGTATCAATGCCTGATCTTGTGTCCATTTTTCGATATATTCAAGACAACCCTAAATAAATAAAGAAATTATTAAAGAAGAAAAATTGTTGACATTAATGTGTAGCGAAATACTATTACAGAAAAGTGACTGCAGCAATGAAATATCAGAGCTACCCGCATTTGAATAAGTTTGTTCACAGTGTTTCTCTATGAAAACCTTGCTAGATAAGACAAAAGCCATTAACATTAGTATACGATTCTCTAAAATTCACACACGAGGACATGCCGGTTTTATCATAAATTTCCTAACAAAGCACGAAACATTTACATTTACAGAACATAATTAGAGAAAAACAAATTGGAGTAAAAATGAAATTCATATTTCTTTCAAAAATATCACTTCGCAAAATATTATTTAGATTTTCGCATTCACGCAAGATATGCAATTTTATCTTTTATTAAAATAAAATAGCTCTTTCCTACTTTGCATAAAAATGAGAGTTGTATAAAATAATAACGCACGTGTCTTGCGTCGACAATATGTCGATATTCCATATTTAAAACGCATTTGTCCCCGTTTGATATATGCGGGCATCCGCGTTTATCTTTAATAAGAATCGAAAGTGCCGTCTCGCATGCGTTCGCATGGCATGGCGAAAAAAAAGGGGAGCAATAACTTCCTGATTATCGCGCATACCACCGTGTGTCGGGCGTATTGATGTTCAGCAGGGTTTAGAGCCTGGCAGAAAGTGAGATTGGCAGGCTCAGGATTGAGAAAAGAGTCCGTCTCATTGGCGTTATTCAGGGTGCAGCAACTGAGAGGTACTACTAATTCTCTTCGGCCGACTTCCTGCAGCCGCCACCACGACGTGCCGTAATTGCTGCTTCCGTTTATACCGCAACAGGCGAACTGTAATCGTCACAACGATATAAAATCTAAAGAATTGTGAAAAGAAATATCACATATGTAATATATATAAGTAATGAAATAATAAGTTCAATTTTTTTTAGAATCTTAATTTTTATTATATTAATTTGTTAAAAAAATTGTATGTACAAGTTGATGTCTACGAATCAATTTGTTTGCAATATTTAAATAGTTATGTAATACAATTATAATGACAATTTAAAAGACATTGGTTCTTCCAAATCTATATTTTTTATTTTTGTATAAATTAAAGAAAAACCTTATATAGACTTACCATCGTTTGTGCAAGATCGAGGGCCGCCGTGAATTGTTCACGTCCAGGAACAGAGTAACTGCGTTGCAAAGCGCGTATCAAACGCGCCGGTCTTACATCGATCCCCAATATGTGAGGCCAAAAAACGGCGATGATACACACGGTACATTCACCGAGGAGCAGTAAAATTATCGTCACGAGATACTAGAAAGTGCAAAATTAAAGGATCAATCCCAACTATCTATATTGAGAGAGCTATCAATTTTGCATGTTACTATATACGATTATATTCACGAATAATACTTCTCCATGTATAATGTCTGTTTAATATTTATCAGTTTAATATTATTTTATATATTTAATTTATATATTTATTTTAATATTATATATTTTTTTAATTCAATGTGAAATATATATTTTAATTCAATCCGTTCCACTAGTGTATGTACGTAAAAATTAGAAACGCTAAGTAATTTTTGCTTTTCAGAAAAAAGAGCGCTATCTCGTATTATTCTCTCGACGAGCTAATTCACATTCGCTCGTCCATGAGCAAATAATTAGTGTTTTTTACGCGGCAGTCGGACGCGCCCTCCTTTTATTTACGCGCGTGTCTGCATAAGAGCAGATCCGTTTCCGGGCAACGACGCGTGACTGATTCCAAAGTAGGAAATCTAGTTTCAGATAGGCTCGATGAATAACATACCATAGTGCATTCAACGAAATGTTACGAATAGAATAGACTCCGATTACGTGATTAATCCGATTTTTCGTATCTCGATTTTTATTCAAACAAATTTTTTCTTCATAAAAATACGCGAAAATCATTACAATTACTTCCATATATTGTATTCTCTACAATATTTTTATTGATTTATCTTGTTAAAATTATCGCTATAAAAAAGAATTGTTGCAAATGCCTATGTAAATTTTTGATGTTACACGCATTGAATATTAAATATTATTGAATAAAACAATATAAAAAAATACTGGCGCATTGCATTGTTTTTTTTTCGAAGATATAAAATATTATTAAATACGTGTATACAATTTTTATATTGTAAAATTAAAAAATATATAGATCTTTCTTACGGAAATTGTGATGCAGCGATTGAAGAGACAAGCTGCCCAGCATCCGAGAAGCCCGGTGATGGCAATGAGAAATCCTAGTGCAACTATAGCAAAAGCCAGATAATAAAAGAGTGGTTGATCAGGATGAATATCACCAGGTCCTAATAGACGCGATAATAAAATTCGTTCATTATCGGCTAATAATAATCCACCTAATGACATCAATGCAAAACCTGAAATCTGAAAGAAAGAATATTTTTTTATAAAAATTGAATTTATATCAAATTATTTTAATAATCATTTTACACGAGATATGTCCATCGATTTGCATCATATTAGCCGACATATCATTTCATATATATTTATTTACTCAAATGTCATTATCCATCAAAATTGATTAAAAACTAGTAACAGTAAGTATGTAAAATGAGATTTTATATTTGAAAAATAAAAATAATCGATAACTCACCAAAAAAATTATATTCGAGCAGCAAACAAAGGCGTGTGATATGGCTAATCTTCCAGTTTCCATTGTTATATCCGGACGCGTTCGTTTTAATGAACAATTATTGATTTGCAAGTGACTTTTTTTAGTCACATAAGTTCCCACAATCACACTCTGCACGCCGCATAATAATTAGACTCGCAAGATTGTGTCATTTAATAATTCGCTGCGAGTTATAATCCGCTCTTCTTCCGAAGCGGACCTGATCGCGTATGTTGACGGACTGAAAACCCCCTTGTATGCGGTGGATGGGACTTTGCCGTACGCGTCTGTAGGCGCGCTTGCGTGCCCTCATGTGCGACCGACCGGACGGAACCGGAAGGAAGTAGAAAGGTGTGGATACAAAAAAAAACGGAAGGGGAATGAAAAGTTTATATGTATACGCGATTGTTTGGCCGCTTCATTTTACGTACGATTTAAGTTAAGGTTTCACTTGATCAAGAGAACTTTCAATGACAGATGTTCACTCGTTCAGGTGTTAAATATACTTTTGTATATTAATTTTGCATATCAAAATTGTGCTATTTTTTTGTATATATACATTATTTTGTAGACAAATATTAAAATATTAAAATTATTAAAATTCCTTTTTTACGTGTATGTAAGGATAATATTCGCACATAATGGAAGATTATATTTAATGTAAGATTATATGTAAGGATAATATTCGCACATAATGGAGGATTATATTTAATGTAAGATTATATGTAAGGATAATATTCGCATATAAATGCGCACCATTATTTATTATTAATATTATTAATATATCATTTATTTTATATATATAATATATATATATATATATATATATATATATATATATATACATTTCAAGTACATAATATATATTATAAGTTTCTATAAATTCAGTTTTTTAATAAAAAGCTCAGTTAGGGCACTTTAAAATGTTACATGGGATTTTAAACCATTACGATATTTCGTAATGCTTTAAAAATGCAAGAAAGGTTTTAGATTTTTTTTTTGTAAAACAATGCATTTTCTATAACAAAACTTTCTCTCATTTTTTTATTGTATTATTTACAGTTGAAAATCTTATTTGCAAATCACGCGATATATTATGTATATATATTTTTCCATTTTTATGTAAAATTATGTAAAATATTGTAAATTATGTAAAAATATTATTTAATAAGAAGTAATAATATTTTAATAAACATTTCACTATTTTATAATGTCGTCATTAATTATACATAATAACTGATTATTCTTCGAATATATTCGTTATAGGAATTTTTCTATGGTGTAAACGAAATTGCAGGTTAAGATCATATACCGCATAACACGGCAAAAAGATATTTTATGCGCATTATTGTAAGTGTGCACGAAGCCTATCTCCTCTTGTCTACATTAATTCAGCCGCCACACCATGCATTTCCCGTTAAACGGAATAGGCACGGCTTACACGCGTACATGAAAATTCAATTTGCTATTTACAGGTATGAAGTAAAATCGTAAATATATATAAATATATATATAAATATTTGCAATAATGATATTAGTAAGAGATAAAAATTGTAATAATAAAAATAATTGTGTATCTAGATTGACAGAAAATATAGTAGATGAATAGAATGTACAATTGTAAAATATAAATGTTTACTCTGATTAATATAAATATACATATGGTAATTTATTAAATTTAATTGTTTATAAAACGTTCAACTTAATTCAAACTTAAAACTCTAACATATTCTTATGAGATCCACTCATACATCCAGTGGAGGATATTATTGGCTCATCTTGCTCTCGTTGGGCTGTATCCTCAAATTCAGGTGGTAAATGTAGAACCTAAAAGTAAAATACATAATATAAAAATTCATATCAATACCATTACTTGAACTTAAATAAAATCATAAACTTGACTGACTTCTATGATAAACTTTTTACGACGTAATTTAAATGCTAGATCTCTAAATTCTGTACAGCGAGGTGCCAATGTATTTAATGCAGACAATTTCTCAATATGTAAAAGACCATGATAATCCTTAAATAATGGATTGGTCTCTTTGGCAGACCCTGCAAATGATTCTAATCTGACTGCTATGTCTGACATGTGTTCAATTCTTTCAATGACATTCTAGAAAAAAAACATACATTATAAATTAACTGTAATCATTATAATAAAAATTCTTTTAAAATTAACTCTGTTAAAACTTACAGTATTGTCAAAATTATTAATTGGAACTGTTATTACGCCAACTGCATATGAGTTCCTCAAAAGTCCTCTGAAGCAATATAAGAACTTTAACAAATCTCGGTTTGAAGATTCTTCTGTATCGGAAAGCCACAATCTTGATCCCAGAGAATGTATAATAATTCTTAAAATTTTCCTTTTATCTGTTGTTTCAGAGATAAGATATTGTTCATTACGCAAAGTTTCTTCAACAGTATGTAACAAGTCAGTGTAAGCAGTATTTTCAAATATATTATTTTGCCACTGCAGATTATTTTCATGCCACTGTTTTATATCCGCATGTTCTAAGAGATCTTGTTGCATTGGTTTTGTAAGATCATAATAATGACCAAAGATTTGACTTGCCATAGGAGATGAGTCTATTACTTTCATATTTTGATATCGCCAAGCAATTTTCATTTGTTCATCTACGTTATTTACAGTTTTTGTATATAGATCTGGATCGTTTATAACTGCAGGCAATTCTGACACAAATAGAGAAGGTTGAACATCTTGCGAGGCAACCAGTATAGGCTGAGATGTGACTACTCCTTCTGCCATAAAGTATTTTAGTGCAGTCTTAGCATAGAGACCATACTTGTCTTCTTCTGTAATTAATTATATATATATTTTGTAAAACATTTACAGTCTATAAACTATAGATTATTTAAAAAGCAATTATATATATCTTATAAAATTATATATATCTTATATTTACAAAGTTTACAAACAATGAATTATTTATAAAGCAATAAACTTATTTGAATACGTACCAATTAAAAGTATTGAACCAATGGGTAAACCTCCACCTAAAAAGGGAAAAAAATTAAAATTAAAGAAATATTTCTCACAATTCTCTTGTAAAGAAACAAAATAACACATGTACTACAAACACATGTACTGCAAACCTATTATATCATCTAGCGAAAGTATTCCTGTTGATATAAGCAATTGTGCATTTCTTATAGATGGTTTTGTGCCTGGTATCGCAGGAAATCTAGTTTTAACTTTTATCGTTTCTTTTGTGTCTGAAGCCATCCTAATATATTATCTGAAAAATAATTTAGCAATTTATGTATACAATTTAACCTAAAAAGCGCTCATAAAGTTATATTTTATTTCGAGACAACGCAAAATAATTACATTCTTTAGATTGAAATTTTACATATTTACTAAAAGCACATGAATATAGTAAATACAACAAAAATTCACCTGTTAATATGTAAACAGATTATTTTTTTATTGTGGAATTTAAACTGCTGTCAACCGATTTTGTAAACAGATTATTTCACATTGGTTAGGTTAGGTTAAGTTCACGTGTACACCTCATTGAAAATTTTACGACATGTTTTACGATTATTACTCCATAATCGACCATTGTTCGTCGTAGTTTCGATATCCATTAAACGATGACACCACGCGAATGAAGTCAATCGACAGCTGACGTTCCTAGCGATTTCCCGCATCACCAGCAGAGTGCGCCCGCGTCGCGGCGGCAGTAATTATGTTTCGCCGTTTGAACGATACATCATTCTATCCCTGTGCGCAGTTCTGTTAATGGCATCGCGCGTTCGATAGAAGCGAGTCCTTCGAGAGCGCGATCCTTCGTTTCGTCGCCGGATGCGATCGCGCGCGAGCATCCGCATGACAGGGACCGAGACAGAGGGAATCAAGTCGAAGCGAGAGCCGAGTCGGTCGCATCGAGAGGCGCGCGCGCGCGCGCGCGTGCGTGTGTCGCGACACGCGAAAAGTAAGGTTATGTAATTGTTTGGTACGATCGCTCGCACGCGCAGCGCGTTTCATGTCGACGCACGACGTGTGACTTTGTGTGATTTACCCGCGACAGATCCCGACCGCACGTGTGTGTGTGTACGTGTCAGTGAACCAATATCGACGCGGCCGGAGTGCGCGACGACTGTGTGTGTGAAAAAACGAATTTCGCGCGTGTCAACGGCTCGGACGACTTCAAGCGACTTCCGGAATGTTTCTCGCGAGCGCGCTTGCTCGCGACAGTCCTCGTTTCGAAATAACGAGACTCGGATCGTCGATCGCGGAGTGCTCGATCTCGAGGGAGAGGAAGGGAGAATTATGGAGAGGAAACACGCGAGAAGAGAACGGGACAGCGCGACGCGAAAAGAGATAGATTCCGGAGAAAGGTGAGGAACGTTCCTCGCGCGCGCGGCCAACTTCAAGCCGCGTCTCATGCACGAAGTGCGCGCAGGAGGAACTCGGAGCCGAACGTTGGAGCCCGCCGCTCCCCCCTTCCCTCTTCCTCCCACTCCCTCCTTCTCCGTCTTCGTCGCCGTCTCTCGCGACCCCCTCGTTCCTTCTCGCTCCTTGGCGCGCGCGCACGCCCTCCCTCCTCGTCTCGCCCCCTCCCCCCGCTCAGCCAGCTCGTTCGTCGCCGCGCGTTTCCTTCTCGTTCTATCCGATAGGTGGCGTCTCTCTTCCGCGGTGCCGTTTGACGACCTCTCGCTCCCACCCGCTCTCTTTTCTTCTCTTTCTCCGGACAAGCGGCAGCACGCTGCCCTCGCTCAACTACCTGTTGTGACGTCCAGCGCGCTCGACGCACCGAACAAATTCGCCGTAAGTACCTAAAGTCGCGTTGGTGTTTACTCAGTGTGTTCCCTTCGTCGAACGACGATCGTTCGATGCGTCGATAACATCGAATCGAGCGCGTCGGCAAGATTTTGGCGCGTCGAGCAACGCGACTACCGTGAAGGAGGTCCCCCGGATTGTGCGAAGCCGCGAAAGGCTTGTGTGTCGCGGTGGCCCCTATCCCCCCTCCTCTCCTTCTTACGCCAGCATCTCCGTGACGAGAGCAATACGGAGAGACGGGGAACGAGTGAGCGCGCGAGAGAGAGGGGCGACACGCGCCCGTGGGATGGAGAGAGAAGAGGCGAACGGGAGAAAGGACTCGAGCGGGCTCTTATCGTGAAGTTAGTCGCGCGCGGCGAACCTTCCGTCCCACCGTCTCGTCAAATCTTCCGTTGCGCGCCTTGTCGAGAGTGACAGTTGCCGAAGCCAATTATTTCTGACGCGACACTGGACTCGAAGCGACGCGTACAACGCGCGCGTACAAGTATATATATCATAAACATTGACGTGAAAATCCGAATACGTCCGACTTGAACGTAGCGCTGGATATTGGCGCCGTAAATGTAGCCGCGAAATGCACGACCGCTCGATGGAGACGCGCTGGACGCGGTAATTCGCACTCGTGCGGAGTTTGGAAATAATACTGGAGGAAGGAGAGCGACGATTTAACGGGCCGTGCGACGACGCGCGCACTATCGCGCGCGCGGTCACGTGGATCACGAACAAAAGGCGGAACGCGCCGCGTTCATTGACGAGTCGCGTCGACGCCGCGCGCCGGTGGCATCGCGTCGTATCGCGTATCGCGGGAGTCGCGAGTGTGTATGTATATGTGCGCCAACTCCGGAATATCTCCCCGTCGTAACCGTTACATAGGGACGTCTCGCGATCGAGACAGCTACTTTGACAGCGAGCGAGTCGTTGCTCCGAAACAAGGTCCCGCGAAAGACGAAGCATCGATCTTGACCGCGGTCAAGTCTTCAATTACACGCGGCCAGATGCTTCCCTGTCGGAAGTCGGGGACGATCGTCGACACGCCAGCGGATTGGAGGATGCACGGCACGCGGACATCGGTGAAGCCGGTGGTAGAGGACGACGAGGTCGCGCGGCCGGCATCGCGCGTAATCAACGACCACCTCGGTGGCCCTAATTGAGAACTGGCTTATCCTGCGGTGGATTTAGGGGGCTGTATGGAGGCCGGGGGGCTCCTGCCCCGTCAGCCCCCGCAAGGCCCCCCCGGCACCATCTCCGTGTGCGCGGGCCAGGGCCCGAACGGGCACGCCGGCAACGTCCTCGGTCAGTCCGCGATCCACGAGTTGAACGCGTCCGGTCAGCTGAGCCTAGCCGGCCAGCAGCAGTTGCATCTGCAGCAACAGCAGCAACAACAAATGGGCCAGGCACCCGGCATGGGTGAGGTGCTCCCCCCGAAGAGGCAGGCGGTCGTGGACCGTTTGCGACGCAGAATCGAGAGTTATCGGCGTAGACAGACCGACTGCATCCCCAGGTTCGATCAGAGCTTCAACGGCCTGTGCGAGCAGAATACATACGACACCCAGGTGCTGAAGCAACGCTTCCTCGAGAACAAGGCGAAGCGGCAGGCCAAGAAGACGGACAAGAAGCAGAGCGACTCGGTCGGGCTCTCCAACGTTCACATGGTAAGTCTTTTATCTCTTTTACTCTTTCCTCTTCGACTTCGTCTTCTTCTCTCCGCCTTCGTCGCTTGCCGGGCAAGCGTAGGTGTGCCTACGCCGCTGTGGGAATTCGAACTTGTTACAAAGTTGGCGGCTCTCTTCCTTCCTTCCTTCCTTCCTTCCTTCCTTCCTTCCTTCCTTCCTTCCTTCCTTCCTTCCTTCCCCGTTCAACTTCCTCACCTTGGAGGTGGAAGCACGCACGAGGGAGGCGCTCCTCGCGTCACGCGGTAGACGAACGTATCCGATGCGTTCAATATACCGTTTATACTCGAGAAATTCAAATATATATCCTCGCAAACCTTCGTCTTCCTGTTTAGTATTTCTGCCAATATCCGAATAATAAAATTTATTTTTTTCCCTTGTTGTTACAAAAATTCTCGAATCTTTTTCGAGTTGCGAATCTCGGGCCTTTGCGATTGCGGTTAAACGGTTAGGCTCCCGTATCCCTTGACCGTTAATCGAATTCATGAATACCATCCGAATGTTATTGGAGATATATGCGGGCATCCCCGGTATTGACAGCATTCATCGAAAGCATCGAATCACGTCGGTTATTGTATACGAACGGTACGTTTATCAATTCGGACGATGACAATTGGAGATAAGCAGTTGTGTGACGTTTTCTCGAATAGTTTCGCTTTCCAGTACCGTGATATTGATCGAGAGATCTATTTCTAAAATTGTTTTGAGGAAAAAAATTTTATATATTATTCACAAAAGGATGTATATATAATATAAATATTTCGAAGGATGTGTAAAAATATGTTATATAAAATTTATAAAATGCACTCTTTTTTATAAATTTTACCGAGGCATTTAAGGCAAAATTTTAGTTTGAAATAATTTTATTTTAAATACTATTATCATTATTTATTTAAATATTATATTAAAAGTATTATATTACATTACATTATATCATGTCATCATATTATATTATTATTTCATTAAATATTGTTTATTTCTAAGAAACAATAATTACACGTATATAATAATTAAAGTATATAATAATTAAAAAAAAATTATGCCTTGTTAGAAATTGAATGGCACCATCGGAATATATTTATCTGACCGTGCCAATTAATCGCGCGCTTCTACCGCGTTAAATCGATGAATTTAACGTGGCGTTGAAATCGAGACGGAACAGGTGGACACGTGGATTGTTAAGGTCGTAGGTCGCGCCCGCGCTAGTTACCCGTAGGCGTTCGATTCGAGACGTCCCTGTGTTAACCTTGGCTTTACGTCAATGCAGGGGCGTTCTTACGATCCTCGCTACGCGTAACGTCATTGTCACGAACGTTCGCGCAAAATGTTTACGTATAGAGACCTTTGCATGCCGTGTGCAAATATCTCTTGGGGAAAAAACAAGTACTTCCGTCAGCTTAATTAAATAGTGAATGTTGGATACGTCAAATATGCATCGGTTTAACTATTTCTTTGGTGATGTGAAAGAATTTACTAATTCTGAGAAGTCATTCTTTCGATCGAAATTATTATTGAAAGTAAAAAGAATTATATTATTTTTTAATGAAGAAAAAGTTAAATAAAAATTTGATACATTCATCTGGAAAAAAGTAATCAAGAAATGTTTTAAAACCAATATTATAAAATTCAGATAAAATCACAATATAAAGATTGCAGATATTAAATTATAATTTGAAATTATTGATAATATAAATATAGTACAGGTGATTAATTGATATGATGTGTATGTAAAAAAGACTGACGCACAATTTTTTACGATGCATTGCAGCTCGTTGAATTGATCTTTGATTCGACTAAAAGAAATAGTTTTAAAATTTAATTTAAAATAATTTGTCGAAAGCAAAACTAACAGAAGACAAAGATATGATGAAACTTTCTTCTGTCTTGTTTACCATAATTATTACGTTGTCAACGTACCCGAGCGTGTGATATTAAGTAATACGTAAATGTGAACGTCATCGGGGTGCACTTTATAAATGTCGCGTGCAAAGATGAACGATAACAACTTCCCCACATCGGATGACGTTAGGTCATCGATGTGTGTTGTACGTGTGTAATGTGACGTGCTCGTCCTATACGAATCGCCATCAGCCTATAAAGGTGATAGGTAACACGTTCGCGTCATACGAAATTACTATGAAGTTGATATTAATTAATTCGCATGATTGCACGAAAAACCTAGTCGCATATGAAAGACGGAAATATCGGAAATGTTTATCAATAAACCAGATTAATGCGAAAATTCGAAATAATAACTTGCAAACATTTACATCATTTTCATACATTGTAAGAAAATGTTAAAAGTTACACGAATAATAATTGTGCAATTTTATTATACTCATTTATTGTTCATATAATTTTTAATATTTTTTACAGTGTACGCTATATTCGTATCTTACGATTAATGAAGTGATTAAACTTTATAACGAGGATGCAACGTTTCAGAGTTGTCTGTAAAACAATTTCCTTCCTTCCTTCCTTGCTTAATAAGAAACTGGAAACTTTACATTTATCTTACTCTAATTGAGATTTGTTAAATGTTTCATATATATCAATATTTTTAACAAAATCAAGT